TACCATTAAGGGGTGTGGACGTGCGGCGGCCCCTTCCACAACTGCCCGGTCGTTGCTGCTGTTTGTCATTGAATTCAGCAACCTTTTCACACTGCCCTAATATTCAATAGCTAATTTACTGCCCCGGCGCTCTTGACTCTTTGACCCTGAGGTGTGGTCACGTGATTCGACTGGTCACAGTTTTCTCCTCATTTACAGGAGCCATATTGATTTTTTGAAATCTAAATTATACACACAAACATAAGTGTAAGGACCAGACGGACTCTCCTGTCTTTAATTAGTTTGTGGTCAGGGCACTTGTTGTTGTGATGTAAGGAAACAGCTGCATGACTGCGGCTCACTCTCCTCAGGTTATTTTTTTTGTTAAGATCTGACCTGAGTGTTAATCAGCTCGTAATAAAAAAAATAAATAAATAAATAAAAAACACCCACTCCCCTTCATTGTTGACAGCCTCCCTGTGCATGCTGGGATTCCCCTCAAGTGGAAATGATGTCACAGTTTTCCATCAGTGACCCAGCAGACTCTTGATGTTAGATAAGCAGGCATGGATTCATTGTCCCCCGTTAACATGTGATGGTTATTACAATAATTAGAGCTTGACTGGTGTCGGGTAATTACGTAAGTACACACACTTGTACTTGGAGTGCAGTTAAGTGTTTTTTTGGTTTTTTTTCTAATGATTGTTAGGATGAATGAATTCACCATCATTAGAACAACATTGTGGTTAAGGGACTTGAACCCATGTCCCTCTTAAATGATCTAGGGTTTAAAGGCTGGGCCTAAAAAATATCAATAATTTCTTTCAGATTTTCAAAATAAAAGGCTGAACTCTGGGTTAGCTTCTTCAAAGTTATTGGATTTGCTGTAATATATTCTGTGATGACACCATAAAACGTTACAAACGCAGTATTACTTTTACTCAACTCACTTAGGCCAGTATTTCTCAAATAGTCAGGCAGGGCCCCCCGCGGGGGGGGGGGGGGGGGGGGGGGGCGTGAGGGGCTTCCAATGTGGTGTTAAAACATTTCTGTCCCCTGGGGGGGTGTGGAAGAAATTAAATTAGGAACCACTGACTTAGACCAATTTTTCATGTACAACCCACTGCTGTACTGACAGCAGTACAGACATACAGTATAAATTCCGGACACGTGGCATTTGCTAATAAGCAGTAGTGATTTTATTTGTCTATAGTTAAGGCTCAGAAGGTGTTGTGCTATTTATTTATTTTTCTCGGTACCACATTCGTCTCTGCACCAACCGTGGTGTTTGATTCCTCTCCAACTGGGAGCTGTGTGTGTGTTGATAAGGGTGGACTGTGCCCAGAGTCTGGAGGCTGCGTGCTGCAGATCAGAGCAGTTGTGTTGGGGGGAAATGAAATTAGGACGGCAAATGCATTAACGAGCTTAGACTCAGATTGGAAGAGGAAGTCCAGATCTGCTACCATCATCAGAGAACCGACTATTGTGCGAAATGAGAATGAGATAAGAGCCGTGCGTTTATCTGTGATTTATTCCAGGCCGGGTTTTCCTGAGCAGGACGGCAGACGTCGCAGTAATGAAAACACGCTGCTTCACACTTTAAACAGTTACACACGTGCACACCTGGAGGCTGCTGGGTGAACGTACACTGTTGGGTTAGCCAACGCGCAGGTTTCTGGGAGCAGATGAAAAGACTTGCTCAAGGGCACCAGTGGTAGGAAGGCGCAGGAGGTTCTTTGTAGTTTTGCGCTGTAAGTTCATAACCTTCTGAAAATTAGTTGTAGTTGTTACCAGCTGTGTTTGATTTTGGCTAAACACTGGACCATCTGAATTTCATGAAATCAGTACTAGTATTTATGCTGTATTTCCCATGTGTACAAGTACTAGTACGAGCACCGTTATCGGAGATACCGATCATGTTATCGGTATCTCTACATTCCTAGATTTTTAGCTTTTTCTTGACTCTTCAGCACAGCAGTGGACTCTATAAAGTGATTTATAATACTTTATAGAGATAATTTACTTTGCATATCATTATTATTCTAAATTTCCCAAAGGGATTTCTATCTATGCATCCAGCCATCTATCTAGCGGTAATGTTGCTGCTTCTTGTTTTTCCTGTCAGTCCTGACATCCACAAATATTTCCATGGCTAACTGTCAAAATAAATGTCCTAAAAGGTAATATTGATGCTAATTGAATTGGAGTTGTCTGCGTTAAGTGCTCAGAGCTTGTTGAAAAGCAGTAGTAATGTCAACGCTAATAAAATAGCGCTAAGTGTGTGTCCTCTCTGTCTCTGTCTCTCGCTCGTCGTCCTCAGAGTGGAGGAGATAAAATGCTTGGGCACATATCCATGAATGTTAATTTGATTGGTCTGTCTTGTCCCGACGTGAGGGACAAACAGGATGAAATGCCAATAAACCTCAAATGGATGTGGACACTTTACTCAACATTTGCTGAACAGCTACAGTGATCTGTGACACGGTGGAGACGAAGAGGCCTCCGATTGCTGCTGCTTCATCACGCATTTTATACAAATGTGTATTAGAGTGAAAACAATTCCAGGGCCGTGAGTCAAAACGTTTTGTTGTTAATGTTTTTTTCTTTTTTCTTTTCTCTACGTCAGTTCAAACGGGATGAAAATGGGAGATACTATTCATACGACCGGGCTAAAGTGATACATATATAATGAAAACATTAAATATATATTTCCTCATATAAACTGAACATACATTATATATTGGAATTCTGATTTAATACATGTACATTTGCAGCCGTCGGGATTTTCCTGTACCTTGGGTTCTAAAAATGTAAACGTCATCGAGGCTAAAATTCAAAAACGCTTTAAGCCTTTTCTACGCCATCTATTGGAGAAATGTGGGCATTGCAGGGAAAAGAAGTATAACCATAATAGAAATGAATAACATAATATGGACATGTTTGGTGGGCCGGATTAAAAAATCCAAACGGGCCACATCCGGCCCCCGGGCCGTAGTTTGCCCATGCCTGGGTTAGGGTTGGGGCGGGGGCTATTATAACTAACACTTATGTGACAGTAAGTACCAGGTGATCATTATGGCTCGTAACCACATTTTGGTAGATTATAAAACTAAAATAATTATTAAAAAAAAAAGCACTTCAAAAAAAGAAGGCAGACAAATATGTACCATAATCCTGTCAAAGTCAGTTTTCTGTTCCCTTCAACTCAGCTCAGCTTTTATTTGCGTCTGTATGCAGATAAAAAGAGACAATACCAACTCGGAGAATTGGCATTTAAAAAACAGGGAATTCCACTTTTTTTTTTTTTAACTAACCAAGCCTGAGTCTCCTATTGTTGTGCTTGTCATCCTTTTTGGCTTTCTCACACTTTCCCAATCACTCATCGCTCTGTTGGCAGGCTCCACTTGTTACACTGTGAATTCTGAGAACGATAAGAGCTGTGACTGAGCATTTGTTTTGGTCCGTGCAGCCACTCGCAGGAGAATGACTTGTAGTTGTTTGTTTTCTCTGCTCAAGTGCTGAAACACCAATCACAGACAGATGGCGTTGGCTCGGCGTCGTACAAATGTCCAGCTGAAAGCAAAGCAAACGTGATGAACTGATCATTGTTTCTTGTTGATGCCTTCGTCGATTCATTGTTTATTGACCTCGTCCACCTGTGAAAAATGTTAGAGACACAGTGTCGTCAGCTACCATCCCCGTCCCTGAGGGTGGAGGTCAAGAAGGTCACAGGTCCATTGTCATTTGTTCTTGCAGACAATTTTTAAGTTTATCTTCTTTACCTTTAGTGTTGCCCCTAACCTTGTAGTCCAGTGTTTGGGGAAGATAAAGTTCTACATTTAAAGGTCAGAGCAGGGTCGTCTTTCCATTCAGATCCAGGTCGATGATATCGCAAAACTGTATTTATTTCGCTTGTTTCAATCTCTGTGGTGATCTAATGTCTCTTCATCATGTGCATCTGAACAGTACAAGGCCCTGGTTAATACTTGCCAGTATCTGCCTACAACAAGTTTAATGTATTATGTGGTAACTAATGGAGCTGTAACCACATATTCACCAGACAGTATTTTCTGTGTGCAGCCTAAATGTTCAAGTCATTCAACATTCAACGCCCATCACTCCCATGACTGTCTATAGGTCCCTCACCGATCATTGAAATGATCGTTTCAGACATTATTTTTACTCTTTTGAATCTACCTTAAGGACATTATTTTTACTCTTTTGAATCTACAAAACTTGAAAAAGGTATTTTTCAAGTTTTTAATACTCATAAACATGTACTGTTGGTACTTCAAAACCAGGCACTGAAACAGTCACCTCTCAGACATGGACATTACTGACAGTGCACACTCCTGGTTTGAATCTTACCTCACTGGTCAGTCCTGGCTAGACCACACATCTGCATCATACCGCCTTGGCGTAGGGGTTCCTCAAGGCTCGGTGTTGGGGCCCCTCCTCTTTTCATCCGCTCACATGGCTTCTCTTATATATAAAACACATCTATAATGCATACATATACACTGTAGCAGTGAGTTAGCTTGAAGATAACAGTGTTGTATAATATCCCCCAGTAATGTGATGCTGTTTGTTAGAACAATGAGTCATGAGTCAGAACACGAGAACATTTTATTTTTACTTGACTGTTCTAAATGAACCTACGGGTATTTTTTTTTCTGAGGTTTTTCACGTTAAAAATAACATAAACATCTTTTATCTGCTTTATGCAAATGTCTGTTTTTTTCTGTTACCACCACAATCTGAACCAAGGACAAATATGCTCCATTTAAAGTAACGCTTGAGGATTTGTTATCAACGTTGCACCATGAGTCAGAACAGTTGCACTGTTTACTTGTTCTCTGTTCTCCTGGGTGGAAAAAACAAATCAAGTTGTATAATTTTCCACCTTTAAGGCCACTTCTTTAGGAGATAAATTATTAAAAATATTAATAATAGTCTGTGAAAATGTATTATTTTACTGCTGAAACATATTCATCAGACGACGTTCTCTTCTGCTTCCGCAGGGACCGCGTGTGCAGCCTAAATGACGAAGTTCAACTTGTTCCGGCATCAGACGACACCGATGGTCGCCGCAAAGCCCACAGGGGCCAGCGCGTTGACTGTGACTCCGGCCCCCGTGGCGTTGGTAGCGAATGAAAACACCAACTCCACCGAAGCCGTCAACAAGAACGATGCCTTCGACGAGATCAAGAACAAGTTCCTGAATGAAATCGACAAGATCCCACGTGAGTGTCAGCCGGAGAAACCGCAGCCTCCTCCCGTCAAATGACCGAGATTGATGTCTGTCCCGAGCAATGATTTTGGAATTAGATTTTCTCTTTTCGCTGCAGGCATCGGTAGCCCACTAATGTCTTTATTCAATATCGATCAGTGGCTGCCCTTCCTAATGGTAGAGAAATCTAATTTTCACCCAATCTAATTGCTAACCTAGCACCTCGCCTACTAAATATATTTGTACCTGGGACATGACAGGGGCTCGACTGAATGATCATCTGGTCAAATGTCAAGACTTTTGCGTGTTCCGTGCTCGTGTCAACGATCCATTGATCTGACTTTCCCCCCCTCCAGTGCCATCCTGGGCCATCATCGCCATCGCCGTGGTCGCCGCCGTGCTCATCCTAACGTGCTGCTTCTGCATCGTCAAGAAATGCTGCTGCAAGAAGAAGAAGAACAAGAAGGGCAAGAAGGGAAAGGGTGATATGGGAATGAAGAACCTGAAGGGTGGAGAGGTATGTGTTCTCCGCAGGTCACATGAGTCCGGTACATGGAGACACTGTGTGGGATTACGGTGTAATTTTTTGGAGACACTGTGTGGGATTACGGTGTAGTTGTTTTTATTTGTAATTTATTTTTAATCAGACCTGAAAGAGAATATGCATGATTTTATCAGGCAGTATTTTGGAGCAACATCATGTGATAATTTGGTAAATTTATCAGATTACGTACGAACACCGCAGACTGTTGTACATTGTGATGGCGTTGTAACCCAGTCAAGTCTATTCTCCACAGGTCTAAATTACATTCTTAATGATTTTTCTTTCTTCTGTTTTATTATTTATTGTATTTGTCATGAATGTAATTGTTGCTGTTTCACTTGTGCTTTGGGATGTGGTTGGAAAATGACAGAGTTCGTACAGTATGCTAGGGCATTAACTTTGGCGTGTTTTTTTCATCCGCATGTGTGCCAACTCACTCTCTACCTCTGATTGGCTTACGCCGATAATTTATCATCGACTTAGCAAATTGTCTGAGTAACTCTGTAAAATGGGCGTTAACGTTATTCAGTGCGGATGGAAAATTTACAAACACATCAAGCCGTTCATCGTTGAAGGAAAATCAGTCCCTAATTTGCATCAAACCAAAAAACATCAAAGTGAAAGTTCGATGGAATTCTACTTATTTAATGCTGGAGCGGCTACATGAGCACTTGATCTCGGCGAGTCCATCCTGGAGGATGAAACTGTCACAAAGCCAAGAGTAAAAAAGTGACTTGAGATCTAAACATCTCACTGGAAACTGATTAGAATAAAACTCCATTACTCCGTACTTTACTGTCAGATAAGTCGACGTGAAAAAAATCGGAAAAAGTCGTTAATGCCCTGTCGTATACAAACACCTACAGTACTTCCTGCCAAGGCCATGTCTTTAAAGATTAAACATAATTAGTCAAAACACCTCGACGTTGTTTTGACCTCTGATTGATGGATTGGCAAAATAGTTCTGTTAACTGACACGGTAATCCCGTCAGTGGGGAGGCCTCGCCGTCTGTCATTTTCCTCCCTCCCAACTGCTGACCGCATTTGCTGTGATTACCCCTCTTTGGTGTCTGCTGTGAGTTCAATCTCTTCCTTTGTCTCTGCTCTCCTCCTTCCTGCTTTGTGTCTTATGTGTGCTCCGTGTATCTTGACTGTGGTGGACTTCTCTGCCTACGGTAGGTCTGATGTCACGCGGCACCCCTCTCTG